AGCATGCCCAAAAAAGCCTAATGCATCAAATGGACAGATACGTATTAATGCTTATAAGCCTCATCCGATATCCATGAACACACATATAGGGCTTTAGCAGAGCTTAATTCTGAATTTAAATTTGATCAGTATACTCTTTTGATCTAGTACTTGGTATCCTCTTCTGAGATATGAGCAGGAATCAGCTATTTTCATTCATCATGCGATCAAGAATCAGCAAATAATACCTCTTTGGTGGTAGTTTCTCAAGTTCAGATTTTTCTTCGTACCTTCATACATTCAAAAGATGTATGAATCTAGTAAACCACAAAATTATCGGAAGTGATCATCTGTTCAGATGAGCCTCGGCATTACCAAAGACTAACTAATGCTAACAAACTTTGAAACTTATTTAACATCGTTATACAGATACATTTCCAATTCCAACTTGCAAGCCCATAATCTCCTGCTTCATTCATTAATTAAAGAGAGAAGATTGGATAGAATTTCCTTGATACTTGATCATACATCTTCAAATAAAATGGGTTCTTCATTGAAAATATTAACAAATGGAGTCTTCAACTCTATCAGTAACTAGATATTTGTTCCGTCCGGCAGGCTAGACAAAAGGTCCCTACCTATTTGTCTCACTATGTATGCCGGACAGACAGAAAGTTCCTAACTATTTGTCCCTCTAGGTAGGCCAGATAGACAAAAATGATAGAAATAGTTTCTAACCGAGTCGTGCTTGGGCGAGAGTATTACTAGGATGGGTGACCCTTTGAGAAGTCCTCGTGTTGCACCTCTTTCTTTTATTTATCAAAAAAAAAAAAGAGAAAGATAGTAACCAAAAATCACGAGCTCATACTGCAGAACATACATTGTATTCAAAATTTAGAAACAAATCATATCCATCTTTATCATAATTCTTCGTATGTCAAAAGCAATAAATGTATTTTTACCCACACTGAATTTCATATTAACATAAGCAGTTGAAACCATTTCATTCATAAAACCTGAGTTGAAAATGAACGAGCACCAAAACTATTTACCTTGGCCAAATAAACCAATACCCAACTTAACTCAAGTAATTCTCGTAGTACACGGCCTCCCTGCCCATAAACAATTCCAAATTACTTAATTCGGGACCTATGAAACGAGAAATGTAGAAAAATGCTTCCCACACCTATGAGATGAGACCTAGTTCAAAGTAGCATTATTATGTATGATTTTCAGTTTTGGCAGTGCTCAGTCAAACAAACATAACTAAAGCCATATGCATTTAAAAGCTACAAAGTTAGTATAGTTGAAAACTAGACTCCTAATACTAACAATTTCTGAAAGACTTGTTTTGTGATTCAAAACACAAACTGGCCTATCGTCGTTCAAAAACAGGACATTTCTAGTGCTTCTGTACAGTGCAGAACCAAAAGGGAAAGAATCAGAACCTGTATTTTATACGTTGGAAATGTCTATGAATCTAGTTTCAAAAACGACTTAAATCACTCAATTCCGATATTTCTACACCAAGTTATGACTAATTTTCCAGAATTGTACAAGACTGACTCTTATAAAAGAATTGATGAAACCCAAGTTTTCCTTAACTATGTAACCTAGTATCCATTCTATTTGCCATGTCCAATCTTTAATTATGAGTTCAATAGCAAAGTACACGAGGGATTGTTCCAATCCCAAACCATCCATCCTTAATTTGGATTTCCAACGAAGTTTCCAAATGACAACAATAACTTAAAACCAACATATGTAACAATGCCAACTACATGAACCAATTCGAAATTCCTTAAATATCTCATAATCTCACATTCAAGGAACAACTAATACTTTAATTATAACCAACTCCACAATCACACCTTAATCTTACAAATCTAGTCATATAAAGATATATTCCCAACTACATCAAAACCATATGCAACTGAACATTATACTCGAAGGTTATTTGAGATATTTTTACTGTAGCACTTTTTGTAATGTGATGTATGTGAGATAAAAAAGTAATTTGGAAGATAAAAAGTTGTATTAAAAATTGTAATGGTGATGTAAGCAAATATATTTGGAAAAATAACCCACTAATTCAATATAATATCATCAATCAAACTGATGTATCCTGAAAGATTTGCACAAGATCTATATGACAAAATCAAAATTTTTTTTTTCTTTTGAAGTTCTAAGAAAATGCTATAAAAATCATACAAATAACTCTACCAAGAAGAGATTCTCAAATTCTAAGTTGCTTTCAAAGCCAAACTTTTGGTCAACTTTAAAAATCAATAGCTAGGATGGCGAAGAAATAAAATATTTGATTGAAAGCTTTTTGAGTCAAACCTTCACACGCAACAAATAAAACTTTATGATGCTTAAACAAGAAGTATCAACTAAAATCCAAAAGTCAAGTAAAATTGGCTCCACTAATGAATAGTATATTATGATTTTTCCCCCTAAGTGACAGTTTATACCTAATATTATAAGAAAATATCTCACATTCCTTTCAATCATGGATTCTTAACTACCAAATCTAATATAAAATTCCTTCACTACCCACACAAAACAAATAGCATATAACTCTTAAACTATATGATTGCCTATATATATATATACACAATTATAATCATACCCAAGTTTCGCATCAAATCAACATCCCTAACATCGAATTGTTCAATGTACTAAAGTAAACCTTATTTTCATTTTACCACCCAAATTATGATAGTATACCAATTTATTCATCACATATCATTGAACTACGCTTCTGTAATAAATACATCTTCCAACTGACATAATGAATGAGGAATACATTCTAATGATATTATTGTTGTTCTTTTTGTCGTCAAGATAAAAAGAATATCCGCATAGGACTTCCAATGTAATGGGCAAAATCGCTGTTAAGAATTTGAGCACGTGGCATTTGGTCACAGCCTTTTACAACCGTCGCTTACAACTGTGCTGCGTGGTGTACGCATTAATACAACTTATTTAAACACTAAAATATCATATAGCACATGATAATACATACAAATTGGCTCAATTGATAAGAATGATTCACTTCTTTTATAAAAAATCATTTATTTATTCAAATCTTGCCGTCGATGTAAGGTTTATATTGGGGAATGATCTGCACAAATCTTCTATGATTCTGAAATCATACCTGACCTATAGTGGTGATCAAAGCCAAAGTCGTCTAAGTTTACCCTTACCAAAAATGAAAAACATACATAGCAACTAAGACAATAATGTGGAAAAAAAAAACTAAATAACGTTCAAAAGTTGTGTCTCATAATTTATTGAATAGATTGCCAAAATAGTCACTCAACTATTAAAAATAGCACCGCTTCATCACCAAATTTTTTTTTTTTTTGGCCAGAAAGGTCATTTAACTGTTTAAAACGGGCCTCTTAGGTCATGTCACTCCATTTAGCCGGTAAACCAGCTGGTCATAAGCACATTTGATTTGCCATTGCAGGTTTTGAGGGCAGAAATGTCCTCAACTGATTGACACATACTTTTTCAAAAACACACCCCAAACTTTAGGGGCTAATCCTTAGTTTAGTCAAACTTCAAAGGAGATAAATATAATTAACCAAAAAAACCTAACACAGAGGCTGCCGCTTTGTGCTTCCTCTTCCGGCTCGGGATTCACTGATGATTATGAGAAGAATTTTTCAAGTACAAAAGGATCAGAGGACCTCTTCTTGTTTCATGATTTACCAGCCAAAAAATTCCTACAACTATCATCATCATCATTTTCAACCCTCATCCAAATTCAAAATCTCAAAATTTTTTTTTTTTTTTTTTGCATTTCCTTCAATTTCAATCCAAAAATCATTCATGGCCGTGACCAAAAATAAAAAAGCAAAAAGTATACTCCTTTACAAGTTTGAAGAGTAAAAGTATACAGTTAATAGTTAGACAGCCAAAAGTCGATTAACTTAAAAGCTATCGATTTTTTACTCATTTTCTTTTTAAAAAAATTTATATTATCAAGCTTTTAACCGCCTATCAGTTAATAGCCCACTTCAACGAAAAATTGGATTAAACTAAGAAAAGAAATGAAAACAACTAATTAATAAAATTATTTTGTGTATAATTAATAAAATTATTTTGTGTAGAAACAATTTTCTTTAATTCTCTTAAATAAAAGGCTAATAATTGTATATTTTCATAACCAATACATTATCAAAACTTTAATAAATTGCAAAAAATTCCAACGGACACATATGTCCTTCTTTCTTTTCCTTCAAACCGAAGCAACAGGGAGAGCAAGGCAACGCATAATTTAATCAAGTACTGCTAAATTGTTATAGGCGAATAATGTGGGAACAAACAACGCCAATAATTTCGAAAAAAACAAGAAAAACCAAAAGCAAAATTACAAATGAGCCACCAAAGCCTTCTCTTTCCATTCTCTTCCCCAACAATCAAAAACGGAAAGGCCACAATATTCTACATTTCCCATAATCACTAACTTTTCCCCGTTGGGTTGATCATTATCAATGAAAAAAAGGCTCATAAATTCCTGGCCGTCCGATTAGATGACTTATGTCGCCGGCCTTCATTGACTCTTCTGGAGCTCCGCCTCGCGCCACCACTCAAAACCCTAACGGTCAGATTTTTCTCACCTCATTTTCTCCTTCATTTGAATTTTTCGATAGTAAAAGAAATATTTATAAGACTAGTGCAATTTCTGCTTCCTCGGATCCGATTAGTGCAATGGACCCTAATTTCGGGTTCAATTCTCCGGCATTGGGCCCCACCAAGCCCGGTGGACTGTCGTCTAAGGCGGCTCCTCGGATTACCCGGCGGAAGAAAGCCATGCCAGCCCATCATCTCCGCTCAACGGGAGATGACCCGGGTGTTAATCCCTTTCGACCCGTATCCGAAATGAGTTCCGGGTCGGGTTTTCTTAATTCGGGTCATTTTGATCTGAGAAGTGATGCATTTGCATTTGGGGCAGTAGAATTGGTAGTAGTGACGGTAATTTATTTTCGAATTCGAGATTGGATAGTTTTATGGAGAAGAATGAAGTAGCTGATGAAATTATGAACTTGAGAATTGGAAAAGAAAGAAGTGTGAATTTGGGTGGAAATGTGAAGAAAACGAGTGGGGATATTGATGAGACGGCTGAGTGTGATTTGCCAGATTATATGAGACAGTTAAATATCGAGAATGATGGAAAGGTTAGGAGTTTCAGGGAAGAGCTCCAGAATGAATTGAAGAAATTGAATATTAAAGAGAGTCTAAGTAGGATTAATTCTCAGAGCTTTGCTAATCAGGGAAGTTGTGGAAGCTCAGAGACTGTTCCTCGTGATAACATGGAAAATTTTAAGATCGAAGAGTCACTGAGTGGTCGAGAGAATAAAAAAATCGATAGTGGTTTAGGCCAAGAAGATAAAATGGGAGTGGAAACTTGTCTTCAGTTACAGCAGAATGTAATCAGAAGCAGGCCCGAAATTGGTCTGGTCCCAAGCCTGATAATGCTTCTGACTCTATCCCTTCAGGGCTAAGTGATAGTTTGAGTGATAGTCAAGTGCGTTTGGAAGATCAAAGTTGTACAACATCGTCATCGCCATTTGTGGGCAGTGGTGTTCGTTTTGATGGTTTTGGGAATGCTGTTGAGGCTACATTTCAGGATAGAACTGAAAAGAAAGTTCATTTTAGTTTTAGTAGCAAGTGGGATGACATGGGGATGCAAAATGTAGAGTTTAAAACACTGAATATGATAGGAAACTTGAATAGAAAATTTGAAACAAAAAAGGATTCGTCTAAAGCCACTAGATCAAAGAAAAAGAAAGTTAAGTCAAAAAACCTCAATCCAGTTCAGCTGAGTTCCACACAAGATATTATCTTGGGGGAAAATTTGCAGGAAATTGATGACTCTTGTGAACCGTATTCTCCAATGGATATTTCTCCCTATCAGGAGACCCTGGCAGAGAGTAATTTCTCAAGAGAAACTTCAGTAACATCAGAAGAGACTCTCCATGTTGATGATGATTGTGCCTCAAATGAGTCACATCCAGCAGTTTCAAACGATATGACAGATGAAGAACTGGTTGATGCTGCAGAACGTCTGGATATAAATGATGATGAAAAGTGCAAAGAGAAGGAAGAGGAAAAATCTGCATACTGTTTTGATAAAGTATTTAATGCCGAGGGACCTTCTGAAGAGTCTATATCGGGGACCGAGACGGAAAGCTTCAAATCTGCAACCGAACACTTAGACTATAGCACTGATAGCTTTGTGACTGCAGCTGATACACTTGCCACAGGTTCGGATACAGAAGTAAGTTCTGGCTTAGGGATTGGGAAGCAGGAGGGTGATGGGGACAGTCATTTCGATTTTGCTCCAAGAATGGAAGAGAGTGGCCAGGGTAGTTTCATCTTTGCTGCATCTTCTGCTGCCCAAGGTCAATCATTGACAACAGCTCGTGCCTCCAAGAAGAAAAGTCGATCAAAGTTGGTCAAGATTCACATTGTTTGTCTCCAAATAGCAAAGACTCGTACTCATCATCCCGTTTAGATTATTTTCCGGTCTCTGGAACGTGTGCACTTTCGTCCCCCAGGCAAGGTCGAAAAGGTGATGCATCTACCTTGTTGAACCAAACTGGTTATATTTCCGAGCCAGTTAAGAAACAGGAATCCAAGGGAGAGAATAACTCAAGTACATCTGCCAGCATAGTGGCCCAGGAAGCTTGTGAAAAATGGCGACTCAGGTGTGGATTCATTTAGATATTCTCAGAGCAATCTTTACTGTATTCTTGCATGATGATGAATAATAGTCTTATCCAAATGTCTTTTGTGTTCTTCATTTTGGTTGTAGTAGCTTGAGTGGCTCTGCAAATTTGATATTTGGTGTAGCATTTTACATTTTCTGAAACCATGCATATAATGTGGATTTGCATCAGGGGAAACCAAGCCTATGCAACTGGGGATTTGTCTAAAGCGGAGGATTTTTATTCTCAAGGGGTGAACTCTGTTCCTGAAAATGAGACATCCAAGGCTGTCTTAGGGCTCTGATGTTGTGCTATAGCAACCGTGCTGCAACTCGTATGTCTCTTGGAAGAATAAAAGATGCTCTAGAAGATTGTATGAAGGCTTATGTGATAGATCCCAGCTTCCTCAGAGTGCAAGTTCGAGCTGCAAAGTAAGACCTGTCTACTTCTTGGCTTTTTTCCCCTTTATTATTATTAATATTTTTATTTTTTTCAAATGCAAGATATTATTATTATTATTATTTTATTTTTTTCACGTGTTTGTATAATCTTCTTTTTTCCCTTGAGTTTCTTCATGAATCAGTTTTGAATTTTTTTTTTTTTTGGTAATGATATAGTACTTCTTTGTTTGTCATGATTTTTGTTCTTTTTTTTATAATATGTTTAATATGCTTTTACAATTGGGTTAGTATTGGCAGTTCCTAGGGTGAGAAACCTCTGCTCTGGTCTTGAATTAACAATGACAGAAGGTTTTTTAGTTGCTTTACCCTAACCCTACTTAAACGCTTTACACTTATAGGCAGATAGCATGGGCAGGTGATCAAGACTAGATTATCGGAACAAAATATTATAAAATAACTTCAAAAATGGGTTAGTCAGGCCTCCAAAAGCAGTGGAAGATCTTTATTACTATATCAAATATCAGGGAGGTCAGTGGAAGTAATCCTTCACAGTAGTGCAATTTTTTCCCCCTATGTAGTTACTGAAATGACCTGATCTTAATGTTGAAGAACTAAAAATTGAAACAAGATTTAGTTGTAGAGAAATGCTCTTATTCTCTTTGAGTACTATCTTGAAATCTCCACAAGTAGCCATCAACGGATGAAGTCAATAGTTGTGATAATTCTCTTTTCCTGTCTGTGGAGGTGCGTGTGTGCATTGAGGTCCATGGTAAGATGATATTGGAGATATCAACTAATTTATGTGGATTGTGGATTGTCCAGCTGTATCAAAAATAAGGATAAAAAGGTAAACATCTTTGATGTGTGGTTTAGAGCACTAATCAAACAAAAGATTGGCTATAGTGATGTCAATTAATTTTGACTCATAATTCCAAAGCCTCCTAAGATTTATAGGCTATATAGCACATTGTTATTTGAATGCTAATGGTGATTCGATTTTGGAAATTGATACAAATTTGATTCACTATTTATGAGTGATATGCTTTGAATCTTGGGAACTGTAATTTGGAGCTTTGAGCAGCAGGAAGGTATATTATTTTATGCTTTCATGTTTCTTACTGATTCTTTTCTTTAGCTGCTATCTTGCCCTAGGGGAAGTTGATGATGCATCATTGCATTATATGAAGTGCTTGCAAGCGGGGAGTGACGTCTGTGCGGATCGAAAGCTTTTGGTAGAAGCATCTGAGGGCCTAGAAAAGGCACAGGTATAAAAGTACCTTTTTGCTGTAACAAAGCTACGACAGTATAAAATAATGTAGGTAAACTCTCTACAGAATGGTAAAAACTCTATACTGATCTGGACATTGTACCAACCTTTGGACCTGATGATTCAGTGTTATGCATGCACTTGGAAATTTACCTTATAAGATCGAACAACAAAATGATTCTTAAGAATCAAGTCAAGGGTTGGAGGTTTGTGGATCTCACAATTGAATATGCTTGTGTGCATAGGTTGTACACCCTTTCTATAATTTGACAAGCTACTTAAGTATAGAAAGTAGTTCCTGAAAAGAATATTTGTTAAGCACATATAACATCCTTTTATAGTTTACTTTCTCAATTGGAATGCAAGAAAGAAATCCTGCTTGAAATATCTTACTATATGCCTCAATTGCAGTTTTCTGTGGGTTCACATTCCCAAATTCTCAGTTACACATGATTACAGAATTGGATATTGGACACCCAACCTTGTTAGTAGCATACAACTTGAACCAAGTAAATTACTGATGTACTTGGGCCTGGACCTGTTGGGGACTTGGGCCACCAGAAGTTTTAGACTTCAGGATTAAAGAGCTTTGACCCAATTTCTGTTTGTGTAACTTCCATATATTGCAGAGAAAGCATATAGCTTAATCTGTTTGTTCTTGGATTCTGGAAGGTTAAGCAATTTCAATAAATTGGTCCAACTTCCTGACTTTGGCAAGTAGCATGTATGATTCCTCAAAACTAGGAATTTGTCTTCAAAACTCAAGTGAATCCTAAATCTTAAGGTAGCATTTCATTTCATAGTCTGTGGAATTTGATAGGCCATACATACCATCCTATAGAAAAAGTTATGTCTTTCTTCATGATTGATCTTTTAATGTTTTGTGAAAGTGATTATGAATTGAGAAAAAGGAGATAGATGACAAAGAATGGAGATGGGATCTAATATAGAGTTAGAGCAGCCTTATTTGTTATGTGTAGTAATTAGTTGTATTAATCAGCTGTTCTTCTTCCAGGTCTGTACAATTTGCAAAAGCTGAATGCCATGCTAGATGGATAATGATTCCAGCCTAATATCTTTTGTTATGCATGGCTTAATAATTGATTCAATTTCTTCTAATAAACCCAAAACCAGAATCTTCTTCCTTTGTCAATCAGGTTATTAGTTACTTGATTTATTGTGTCCACATATAAATTATGTTTCACCATAAACTTTGCACCTTGTAGTTTTAGACTAATCAGTCATATATAGCATCCTCTGCTATTGCTAGGGAACGTAAAGAAATTGTTAGTTGGGAATCAAGCGTAGTTGAACTTCAGAAGAGTATGCTTACTTGAATTTCTGAAAATTAAATCTGTTCTTCACTATCTATGTTCGTATATTTGGAGTTCCCGGCAAGAGTATTTTAGTTCCCAATCACTGACTGTATTTGTCTTGGTATAGAATCTGAGGGTGAACTTGGAATGTGATTGCATTCATTGCTTTCCCGTCAACTAAACAAAGCCCATATCATTTGTGAGATTGAGGTCAAATTCCTTTCTAGGTAGGCTTAACTTGAGATGAATGTGATTGCTGGTGATGATTTTGCTGATACAAGTCCCTATTAAAAGAAGAATGTCAGCAAAAATGTTGCTTTAATTTTGTTTCTGGATAAATATGCCAAAAAAAAAGAATGATGAATGCAATTTGGAACTTCTAATGACAGTAATTTTTGATCCATGGCTGCCAGAAAGTATCAGAGTTCATGAAGCAATGCGCCGAATGTTTGCAACAAGGAACGTCTGCTGATGCGGAGACTGCATTGGGTTTAATTGATGAGGCACTGATTATAAGTCCTTACTCAGAACATTTACTTGAAAGCAAAGCTAATTCTCTTCTTATGGTATGTCTCAATATGCTTGACAAAAAATCTTCACTAAGGAGCTTTGCCTATAATGAAAATTTTCTAATGCACATTCTGCATTGGAATAATTTTCCACTAGAAGTTTATGAATGTTGATTTCATTTTACAGCTACAGAGGTATGAAGATGTTATTCAGTTGTGTGGTCAGAACCTTGGTGCCTTTGTATCGAAATTTGATGTTTCTGACGCACATAAGGACTCTCGTTCCGGGTTTGGTGCTGTTCACTTGTTGTTAAGGCTCACTTTTATGCTGGAAGGCTGGAGGAAGCTCTTGAATTTTTGAGGAAGCAAGAGGAGTCACTCCCTGTCATAGAGAAGTACCACACTCTATGCATCTGTCTGCATTAACACTATTTTTAAGATTGTCTTATGATAAATCCAAGTTGCTAATTTCTGTTTAGTTTCTCACTTGGATCCTCTCTGCAGGGGTCAAAGCAAGAATTTAGAATCTCTCATTCCTTTGGCTGGCACCATACGTGAACTCTTACATAATAAGGTTGTTATTCTTTATGCCCGTATTTTGATGTCATGCTTGTATTGTTTATGCCATCAACCTTTTCCTCATATTACAATTTAAAAGAAAAACACGAGTGATTAGCCTGAGATTTTCTTGGATAGCTTTTTTAATTCCCATATTCCATCAGTCTTCAGGGATTAGATTCGAAATTTCATGTAAAAGAAGATGTTTTATGATTTTCTGGACATATATATATATATATATATATATTTGATTTATTATTGATCTGTTGGACTGTTTGACTTAGTACTCTGGTAAAACTTTAGAGCTATTTGACAATAGCTTAGAGGATCAAAAAATTGTTTTGAGATTTAGCTTATTCTGGATTTTCTTTTTCCAAAGTTTTGGTTAATGTGGATTTCTCTTTTCATTATCTTCCTTTTGGGTCAGTTCTAAAAGGTTTGATTGCATTAGATCTTATGTGAATTTTTGCTATCAGCGGATTCAGCTTATAAACATATTTCTTACATTTTAAGCCATCTATTATTCTAAAGATTTTGACCAAATCTATCAAGGGCTTAGTGATCTTAAAAAGCTTGCTCATAAGAGAGGTAACGTACGTGGTTCCTAAAAAGTGAGGCTTATTTGGAAACATCAGAGAAACTATAGACCAAAAAATTGACTGATCAGACAGTACAGCATGAATGTGCTTGTTATATGTGTTCTGTTCAGAGATGGAATAGCCTTGTTACAGGTTACGTTTCAGGGGTCATGATCATCAAAGCTTTAGCTTCCTAATGTAATAATGTATTGACATAATCACATTCAAATCTGTCAGATGGAGTTGGTATAGATTAAGGTCAAGAAAGCTTGTATGTCGTTCTTCTAGGAGTTGAGTTGTTTTGGAGGTGTTAGTTGTTGTATTAATCCTTCTTGAGTGAAATCCTGTCTTCTTTTGACCTTCAAGATGGTTAGCTTTTCACTTGGCCAGTCACCCTGTGTTGAAGGAGAAGGCTTGGCCATTTCAAATCCATTAGATTGGAGAAGGAAATTCTATTCATTGGTGACATAATGTTTAGAAATAAAGGGATTTTGTAGGATGGTGTTTGGTGGAACTTGGCTGATTTGTACACAGTTCAAGGGAAAAACATATGAAAAGGAATGTATTTGCTTCATTTTGAAGGAGAACTTTCTGGATTTAGATGATTTTTTTTATGCCCTAAGCTTGTATTTTTACCATCCATTGATTTAATTTCATTCAATGTTGGTAATTGAATGATTCCAGCATGCAGTTTCTTAGCTAATGAGTTTTCTTTTTTCGGCAGATTTTGTTATTAGGGTGTGCATATCAAGATTTAAACAACAATACTTTTGGTCTCTATAACTTGCACTTCGTCTAATGAGTTAAGAGTAGGTTTCAGCATTTTTATGAAGTTGTATTCATGCTGAATTTTCATGATGCATGTTTGGCCCTGAGAGTGCTGATGATATTTCTGGAATAGAATTAGGACATCCAGTATTTTCTTTCATTTACGTATGTTATTCATAAAGTGAATTTGTAAGCAAAGCAAAACTCTCCTTCTGGTGACTTCTGAACTCCAATTGAGTAAACATATAGTTTATTGAAATATTAAAAAGACTATTCAAGAACTTATTTCTTGTGGATACTTGAAATATTGTTAACTGGCAACATTGATCGAGGTTTTTATGAAGATACACATCCTTGGCCTGCATAAAGTTCAGTTGCCATTGATCAAGGTTTTCTATAAAGTTTGATTAGCTTATTTTCTGGGAGCTGTTGTCCTTAATGCATTAATGACTGCATGTCTTATTGGTCCATTGCGCCAAATGGAAATTTACTTGGTAGAACCTCCTGGAATCAAGGTCCCCCCCCCTCTCTTCTTATAATGGAGCCATTGACAGAATTATAGACTGCTTGCTTTGGGAAACTAAGTACCACGACTTGTCCACTAAAGTAGGCTTACTTGTCTACCACTTGTCCACCTTTGGTTGAGAGAGGGCATTGTGGGGAATGAAGTAGGCTTAGGTGGTGGCTGATGTTATCTGAGTGCAAAAGTAAGTTGCTTCGTCTTCCTGGTGCACAGAAAGTAATCAAAATAGAATTGCCTGTTGACATGGCGCCTGGCTATGGAGGTTTTTGACTCAGGAAGTTTTTATTCTGGGGGGGTGTTGGGGAGGGAGGAATGACTCAAGTAGGAAAGGGAGAAGGACAAGCATGAGATAGAGGGGAAAAGATGCTACTGAAATATCATAATTTGGTTGAATTTTGTCTGCGAGATAGGGAAAGGAGATTTGGGTTTAGCTAGAGATTAGAGAGACAGGACTTAAGGGACCCTTTTACCGCTTAATTTTGATGTCAAAATGCTGTTACATTCTGTTATTATTAGTATAAAAATGTCATACCAGTCTTTGAATGTTGCTGAGTTGGGCTTCATTTGGCACATTTAGCTACAACTATTCAGGGTATGGTTCTTTAATGGAATATGATAGGACTGATAGAATTATTGGTGGAGGCGATGATATATCAATAAAGACTAATTCTTATAATCTTTTAACAGGGAGAAGGAAGACCAAAACACAGATCTGGACTGTTGATGAAATATAGACAGTGTGTAGCTACATGACACACTTGAACTAAAGCAAAATATTATCGTGCATTTAGTTATTAAAATTCTTATTCTTGGCTGTCTCCATCTTTCTTTATTTGGTTTGCATGCGGGCACAAGTGTTTGTAAACTTCCTCTTTCATGAATTCCAATGCTATAAATTCTTCAAATACATATTAGAAACTGCAAATAGCACCATGTGGAGTTGTTTCCTAGGGTGTAAAGCACTCGTGCATTTTGGCTTCAGGGTGCAGGAAATGAAGCATTTCAATCAGGGAGGCATGCAGAAGCTGTACAGCACTACACTGCTGCTATATTATGCAATGTTGAGTCAAGGCCTTTTGCATCAATATGTTTCTGTAATCGAGCTGCTGCATATCGAGCTATGGGTCAATTTGCAGATGCAATAGCTGATTGTAGCTTGGCTATAGCCCTTGATGCGAATTACTTGAAGGTTTGCCTTGATATGTAGTTTTCAGTATCATGCTGCTTAGGAACTATTTAGTTCAGATTATGAATTGGGACTTTTAAGTCCTCTTAATGTTCTTTTGAATTCCGCAGATCACCAAACTAACATTTTAGATCGAAAAAGAGGCTGTTCATCTGACTTTAGGTTTTCTGATTCAAACAGAGTGGGGTCTCCATGTTGCTTGTGGGAGATTATCATTTAGGAGTCCGAAGAAAATACTTAAGAATGGAGCCAGAGAAATACTTTAGAATGTTTTACATAGTACTTTCAGTACATGAGTTGATTTTTATATCAGTGTAGTTTTCTTCAAGAATTTAACTCCTAGTGCTGGGTTTTTTCCCAGAATGAAATAATTGTTGATCCTTCTATGTTTCCAAAGCTTTTTTGTGTGGCCTCATATGTTGGTTGAACTTTTCCAAATACTTCTTAATTTTCCCAGTCCTTATTTCTAAAAAATGTAGACTTTTCTAAACTTTGGACAGATGCTGTTAGAAGATACTGTCTGCATCTTTAGCAATGGTTTGCCATCTTCTACCAAGTGCATCGTAACTTTGTGTAATACTTGACTTCGAGGAAAATAAGAAGAAAAGGCAATTAATGAATATCTAGTTATTAACCTAAATCAACATAACTAGTGAGGATGGATTTAATGCTGTTAAGTTTTCAATGAGCAACGTGCTTAAAGTCATCTGAACTTTGGTGAAGAATAAATTGGATATTTGAGTGCTTGGAATTAGGTTTTTACTCGATTAGTAAATTTATTGCTTTGAGAAACTTTAGGAGTGCCGAGACAATGAATACTGGATTAGAACAAAAATATACAACTCCACTTAAACTGTTTTCAGTACTTTGTACATCTGTTTAGTCTTGGATGCACTCATAGCTTACATGTTATCTTTTGGGTATTGAAAGTAGTTAGGATAATTAGAGTGGGGGGAAAAGAAAAAACTTTAGCTGCCACCTGGAGAAGATCTCCCTTTTAGCCAGACTGAGAGAAGTACTCTTCGATACTGGCTACTTTTTGTAGCTTCTGTAGTTTTGCAAACTTGAATTGCATGGCCACATACTTGATTTTGCAGCTGTTTGCATCTTTAAAAGTAAAAGCAGTATATGCATAGCCTCTTTAGATCAAAGAAACTGAATTTTATCTTTTCTTGCTGCAACTGTTAGGTTTCAGACTTAAAATGGTTATTATTGAAATCTTCTTTTTGATTGACTTAGTTTGTCCGTTCACTCTTTTTAAGGGTTGTTACACATTTGCAGGCATTCTCCAGACGTGCTGCTCTTTATGAATTGATCAGAGATTATGGACAAGCAGCTCTTGATCTACAAAGGCTTGTATCTCTTCTCACCAGGAAATTGGAGGATAGAATTTATCAGTTGGCATCATCTGACAGAATGAAATATATAAATGAGCTTAAGCAAGCTCAAATAAAGCTTTCTCAGATGGAAGAAGCTTCCAGAAAGGAAATTCCCTTAAATATGTACCTCATTCTGTAAGTTTGATTTATCCTTATACTCAGTTTCTGAATGTGAATTAATGGCATTTGAGACTGCAGTTGCTGCCAACAATTAATTTTGCTAATTATGAAATATGTGTACTATCATATGTCAATTAGTTGGGGTAATATGGTCTGGCTACAGTCTGCTTGCCTTGCTTCAGCTTTTTCAAAAATTTTATGATGTACAGAATAGTGTGGTACATTTCTAAGATAACCATATTGATGTCTTCGTTTCTCGTTTTTTTGACACTTTTTACTTCTGACCTACTTCTTTGTTGATAGGTATTTTATCAGCATAAACTTTCTCTGCTTGTAGTTAATGAAATTGTTGTACAATTGGAAGAATTTTAGCTGATAAATGTGAAAAAAAGGGCTCTTTTTAGTTTGCTTGTACTTGGAGTAATTTTAAAAAGATTCTTTTATCATTTACACCAATCACCTTTTTATCACTCATAACTCTATCCAATGAAGTGCTACAGTACTACCTTTCAAGAAAACTCTCCCAGAAAATAAGTTTTTTGTTCCATTCCCCCCTTATATGGATTCAATGGAGAAGACAGATAAAGCTATCTTCTCAGCATGTTGCTTTCTAGTTGGTGTATGAATGCCCTCAACTTAACTCTCATTTTAACTCAAAGTTGAGATCTTATGAGTGGCATTACCATGAAATTTGGTCTTCTATGGCTTGAGATGTTTTCATTTGTATGTTTGATTTAGTTGAGTAGGAAATAGCGCTTGTAAACTCTGGAGAGAACAGCATAGATTAGATCAATTAACAGAAGAGGTTGTATACTTTGTTCCAATGGTTTATAATGGTTTTTGAATTGGTTGAGGATACTTGTGATTTTGACTCTTCCAGAGCTATGCCTCATACCTATTGAGAAGATTTACCTGTCTTTTAATGAAAAGGACTTTTTGGCAGGGTTGGCAAATTTTCTTCTATTGGTTTTCCATCACTGGTACATATTTAGTATTAAAAAAGGGATATCATGCATAAAAGAAGTGTACAAGTACCCTTGTAATTCAAGCAAAGAGTTCATTGCACGTTCTTTGCATGTAGTAATTATCTCACTACTAGAAAACATATAAAACATCTAGTGCTTTACAATCCATAAAAGTTTTGCTAAGTCCTGAAAAGCTCTCCTACACCTTACAACCATATTACCCACAAAAAAAAAGTGCGTAACATTCCAAAGCTTCGTCATGTGCTGTATACTTTCCCTGCCTTCTTTGAAAAAAATGACATCTAAAATTCTTCTTGGCATTTCCCAGAGTTCCGAACAACTTGACACAAGTTCCCAGCAATCCTGGGCCAGAGTTCCACTGTTTCCTTTCTGCCAATATACTTAAAACCTTGTGCTTGTTTTCAGCTACAAGTGCTTCACAGTAGCATAGTGGAGAAGAGTGGCACCATTTTTGGAGCTTTTTGTTTTCCCAAATAGGCTCAGGGGAAAAATGTTTCTTGTCATTCTAGTATCTCTGGGAAAAAGGGATTTCCATTTTTTAAAACCAGTTGGCCTCTGCAATTCCTCCCCCTTCAATTGAAGTTGTGTAATCAGAGCCTTGGAAGCACTGTAACTGCCAACCTTTACAGATACCTGCTTAATTGAACATTATTTGAGCAGCCAATTGGTCCGAGAATTGTGGAAATTTGCAGCAAGTAGGATTAAAACAAGTAAGCTATAATGAAAATGGATGGCAGATTGATGCAAACAATGACAGAGTTTATAAACTTCACAACTTTTTGCATTTGAAAAAATTTCTGGTACAACAAATCCTGTTAAACATTTTTTCAGATTTTTTCATTAGTTGGGTTTGATGAACACCTCCTTGGTTTTACAGAAAACTTTCTTCAGTTCCTATGTCATGGTTGCGCTAGACATGATTTCAACCTAAAAAGTTCAAAATAGTTTCTAAGTTGAGGGATATACATGATGTTTGTAAATTTGTTGTCTTAGATGTTTCTAGATAGATATCATTCAGCCTTTCTGTCTATACTAGAATAGGAAAGATTAGTTGTTAGAATGACTTAGGGTGAGGTTTAATAGTTTTTTTTTTGTTGAAGCATTAAGTGAGCTTCGACAGATATAACAAAAAAGTCGAATATGAAAAGGAAATAAGCAGATGCATTGATCTCACCTGGCACTAGGAATTATTTGAGCAGTTCAGTTACAGTGAGTAATTTGGTGGTTTAGAAATTTGGAGTCAAACAGCATTTTTTTATATGAAGCATGGTATAGTTCTATCTGCATTGTTTTCTTCTACTTCACAGCATCTTTAAGAACTCTTGCTACTTGTAATTCAATATTTGGTAATTTGAATTTACCAAAAAAAAAAGCTTTTGCTATTGCTTGGAACAGATCTGTATAACTTTTGATATGTCTGGTGACTAACAATACTATGGGCATATCATGATCCTCTGTAGATGTCTGGTCCCTTGGTGCTTGGTGGGATTTGAATCAATGGAATGGAAATTTTGACGCTTGTTGCTTTAATTGCCTGGTCAAATATGAACTTTGGTGGATAGTCAACTGAGCTGTTATGCAGGGAAAAGAGAATTAGAATTAAGTGAGATTAATTTTCGTAATTGTTATGACATTACCGCTTTGGCATGGAGAGATTGGCAGGCGGAATAGGTCTGACAGAAGAACATTTATTTTCTGGATCTTTGTGTTAAACCTACTCTTATAGCCCCTATAGGGCATTTTTAGAAGATATGCGTATTTAGTCTGTAATTTATCAGAAAGTATCATTGTGATTTAGATGTGACTTTTTCCTGGTTACATGTGTTTATGATATTATAGATCCTTCCCGTTAATAACCGAATTTAATGATTTTGTATTGCCAGGGGAGTTGACATCAGCAGCTGCATCAGAAATTAAAAAGGCTTATAGAAGAGCTGCGCTCAAACATCATCCAGACAAGGTTTTGTGCTTAAATCTCTGCTGCCATATTCACATGACTTTGACATTACTCTTACTTGGAAAAGCAATACCTATGTAGGCTGCGCAATCTTTGGCTAGAAGTGAGAATGGAGATGAAGGGATGTGGAAGGAAATAGCAGAAGAAGTTCATAAAGATGCTGACAGGCTCTTCAAAATGATTGGAGAGGCATATGCAGTCCTTTCAGACCCTCTCAAGGTATTGCATTTATTCATCACCTTATGCATCTTGTAGAAACAGAGTGTAAAATTGTGCACTGTAGCAGAAACCCACTGACCACAGAACATTTTGGCAACACTGTGAGGAGTTGAATACAACTGGAGTTACAGTTACAAAGACAAGATAAAGCATTGGAAATTAATGCAATTGTCCTTTTCTAAGACAGGCCAAGGTTCCTCATTAGCATTTTTAGTGACGAAATATCTAAAAGAAGGGCTATATTTACTGCTTCCTTTTGTTAAACTAAAAGCTAAGTAGTGCGATAAATTTATAGTTTTGCATAGTCATATCTCTTAGTAATTTAGTTACTAATTTAGAAGAAAAGAATCCAAATTAAAACATTTCATTTTCTGGTTTAACCAAATTAAAATGTTCTATTAGGATTGCAACCTCACATTTTGACAGTGAGGAAGCAAATGTGAAGAAAATAATGAAACACTCAACTTGATCCTTAAACAAAATTATAGAGGCCAAATAGAATGACTGGGCAAGGATAGTGAATTATTGCATATAGCCTTAATTATGAGAATATACTTGCCAAAGCCTTTCTGCAGTATGGAAGCAAGTTTCAAATTCTAGACTTCGGTTATCTGATGAACGAATCATCAAGTTGGAACAAAGAATTGGTTTTTGTCTGTGGTATGGGCTTGTGCCTCAACAGTAAAATCAGGTGCAAGCAGAGTTGATTGAGTGTTTTAGTTGCAATGATCATTTGGCTTTTTAGTGTGTTGGAATCCCAATCTAAGTTAAACTGCTTTGCACACATTTAAGTTACAATATTCCTGATGAGGAGGTTGAGTTCTTTTCATTCTAATCCCTGACATTTATTTCATTTTTAGATGGAATAAACAAGAAAGCAACTTTCTTAAATGACCTTCTAAAATTGCTGCCAGGTTACAAACCTCATACTTGGTGGTGATATATTGGCAAAAGGTCATTTGAAAATTGTTTTGCTTGGGAAGGCAGAAGAGATGAATTAAGGACTTGTTACTTCGTTAGCCTATGGATCCTCAAGTCTCTTACACCAAATCCTTCTGTTATTTTTTATCTGATGCCCTTCTATATTTCTTGCAGATGATGCTGCTTTCATGTCCTAGTAGCCCTTTTCCATCACATTCGTAGTGCATTGTTAAATTTACCTTGCAGAATCTATCCATTCTACAACTACTGTGCTGTGCATTTCTTCTCCTCTGACTTCTGCTTTTCCAATTATACATACAGCGGTCACAATATGATATGGAAGAAGAGATAAGAAATGGTCAGAATACAGGCAGTGGAAGAAACACATCCAAAATGCATGCAGATTTCCAGAATTACCAGTTTGAGAGAGGTGGTGGCAGGTGGCAAGAGGGCTGGAGATCCATGGGAGCTCCCAGTTTAGGAGTGCAGAAAGGAACCGATCAAGCCGGTATCCTTGATACCTTTTAGAGGCTTCACAATTGGAACTTAGAGCTGCTAGTCAAATGACTTTACCTGATGCCTTGTTACCACTTCTATAACATCTCGACAGTGTGTGGGTAGGCCAAGAGATAGGTGAGAGGGTTATAGCTGCTCCACGAGATGGTCAATAGACTAAGATCTACATCCAGTTTGGTTATAGCTGCTCCACGAGATGGCCAATAGACTAAGATCTACATCCAGTTTGGTTATCAAACTTGAAAGCTTGAGTTCATAAGCCACTTCAAGGCATTAAAAGAAGTGATCTTTTTGCTGAATTTTGCCACCTAAAACTGATGCTGCAGCTTTATGCATGTGCATATCTCCATGAGAATGATGGTTGGGATACTGTTGTCATCAGTTTGTATAGCAAAGAAGGATGGTTTGTGAATATCTTAGTCTAGCAAAAAGAAATCGCTACGTTCACCAATGCAGTGGCATGTTCTTACGCACGTACAGGAAGATCTGATGTCTTTGAACACTTGAATTTCGAGTGAACTGTGAAATACAAATTTGACAGAGTTCAACAAATGGCTGGAGGACGGCCATCTGATAGTGGACTGCAGACAGATTATATCTCTCTTTGAAGGCCAAGCACTATAATCTGGCTTAAACAGAATTGTCTCAGCATGTTGCATGTGTTTTCTTTTTGTAGTTATGTGTCTTGAGGAAGCATATTGATTTGTACAGCGGTTGCCAATATTGATCATTTGCAAATTCGCTTGCTAGAGTGGATTTTGTTGATTTCTTGTAAAGAATTAAACGTAAAAATGAACTTTTGTAATCAACAGAAAAAACAAAGACAGGAAATTTCTTTTTTGGCATTTATTGAGGATCAGAACTTGGTAGTAAAATGATTTTTATACTATAGCAAAGTAAAGCTGTCCATGATATTCCGCATCTCAAAGCTTTTATTGCTTCTTCAAGTTTCTTCATCCTTTAAAATGAACCACAGAAATTTTTCCTTTTTCCTTTTCTTTACCCCTTTTAACTAGGAGAAGTTAGAAGCACTGACTTGTGCAGAATTATGATGCAGAGGAAACAGAATAAAAAGAGGAAATTAGTGCATGAATTCTAGTAAAACGATGTCGTTGTTCTTTCTTTCTTTTTTTTGCCCTTTTAATCTTGGTAAATCAAAATGGTCCAGTGTCCTATAAGAAAAAGTTTTTGGCAGATTTTTGTCCTACAATTCTGTGGGTACCCCTTGTTTAAGAAATTAAGATGCTATCATGAGATGTTAATAGGCAGTCATTTACTCAACTATGGTATCTTTGTACAAAAGACTGAAAAATCAAGTCTGCACATCTGTTAAGATGTTAAATAGATGCATTTATATTTGTTTGCCATTACCACAAGCTGCATCTAGCTTGATTGGTTATAGTAAAACTATAAGGGTTTTTCTAGCAGGTCCCTTAGAGCTTCATTTACACACCTAATATTCACCTAATCTATTATATATATATACTAACAATTATTATCCTCCCTTGCATTCATATACTTTTTCTATTTAATTTTGCCTATCCTCCATTGTATTTATTTACTTTTCCTAATTAATTTTATATTTTTCAAAAATATAACACCTAAAATATATTTTATGATACGACATGTTCACGGCCCTACTGCAAATATTAATCTTATTCTTCCTGTCTCCTATGGGATGTGTTGTCCAAAAGTGAGTCCAGGAAAAGTGAGATTATTATGCCACAAAGTCGGTTGAGTTGTCCCTCTTCTTTATTCTAACCAAAGATTAAAGTAAGATTAGATTAATAATCCTATCCAACCTGGTCGGTGTACTGCAAACTCTATTTTATGCCGATTTTCAGGTCAAATTTGCAATTTTCAATGTGACATCAATTGAATAACCTTCTGAACTGGACATTCCTTCTACCAATACTTGCAGCAATTCTGGTGCAGTTTTCGTCAGATGAGATTATTTTCAAGGACACTAATTAATGGGGTTAATTATATATTATTTATAAGATGCACCCTTAAAAGTACATGATTCTTAGTCTGCACCCTTTATTGTGTATTAAATCATTCCATTTCCAAAAACTTTTCAATTTTACCCAACAGGATACAATCATCGTAACAAAGCTCAAATTGAATCCAACTTCATCAGTTTAGATGCACAAATTGCAGGAAAATGACATATATGTTTCAATAGAAAATTAGTTTGGAGATAAACGAGAGACTTTACATGGATAAAAATGGGTAGACAGATATAACTTCTATGAATATGAACAAAAATTACAATTTTTGAATAAAGACGCCCTCAAGTGTTACATATTTTGACCCAAGTCGACATGTTATTGATGTTACTTCTTTCTTTGCAACATGTTAGTTAAGAGATTTTAGAGATTTTCATTTAAATGGTTAAAATTAAAAAATATATATATATAATTAAGCTCGTTTTCAATTTATCCATAAATAGGTTATAACTTAAGAATCTCTTAAGAATGACGACAAATCAGGTTTAATTACAAATTCACCTTCAAAAGTTAAAGAATTTCCACTTTGTGTCTTTTACTGTACAATTTATTTAATTCATCCCGTAAACTTTTAACTTGTATCCTAAAAAACTCTAGTCTAAAATGAATTTACTTTGTCTTTTTAGTCGCACATATTGCATGAAAATGACACACATGCCCTCAATAAATAGTGGAAAACGTGTGATACTACATACATAAAATGAGGAAACAAATATGCCCCTGTATAGAAATAAATAAAATTACAAGGTGGACAAAGATGTTCCCCAATGTACATTTTCGTCTTGAATTGACAAATTATTGATTTAAAAAGAAGGCATTTATCTCCTTTCGTTGCATTATTCACCCCACATAACAGAATAAGATTCACTTATTCATCTTGGGATTGTTAGGTTGATTACATACAGAAAAATTAAGAGTTAAGGATGTAGATTAATTTAATTGGATCGTCAATAGAAGAAAGTGAAAAACATGCATTTTCCAAGGGAATATTGTAACTAACCTTCAATGAAAAGTTAAAAACATGTATACACTGTCAGCGTTGGATAAATGATAATTATGTAAAATTTAAATTTGAAATTCAAATATTACACATATATCATGGATCTAAATGATGATAATATATACACTGTCAGTGTATATAAGATTTATTCAATTTTATTACATCCATGTGTTTATTTATCAATAACTTTAAGATTTTTCTATTCTGTAGCTCGGAACAAAATATAAAAAATAGGCATACAGTTACTATGAATGTTCAAAAATTTGTATCTACCTCTTAAATTGTGTTCCATTTACCCAAAATTATTTGCATGGTTATTGAAAACACATGATAGGCTACTATATTCCGAGGGTACAAAATAAAATCATTAGGGATCGTTTCTTTTTAATCCTCCGATCCCTTTCTACACCTTTTCAACCCTTAATTGCCAAATACAACATTCAAACTCTGAACTTGATAGTAGGAAAGACTCTAAGAGTCCTTCTTTGTTTATTGGACTGATCCCAGTGGTTAAATCACCAGTACAAATAAAATGGCAATTGATATTTCATAGCACCTAATTTACTTCCACAACAAATTTCTTCTAAAGTAATATTATATAGAATAGGATTACTATAGTATTTTGGAGATGTAATGTATATTAAATAAAAAATGATTAAAAAAAAAAATTTATTTTGTGATACAAGCAAGCATCTTTTTTTTCCGTAATAATAATATTTATATAAGCTAATCTATCATATTCTATAGGGAGAAGGAATGTAAGAGACTAACAGGTAATTTGATTAGACTAACGGAGTGTTTTGACACTTTTATTAGATTTTTTTCACCTAAATCAAAATTCGGTGGTTTTGATGCACGCAAATACATCTCGAGTAATTTTGCTCTCGACTGGCAAAGTGAAGTAGGGTGTTTGTGCTACAAATGTTGCGAGCTACAAGGTCCAAGTGGACTAATAAATGCCCGGCCATAGCTCACATCAGCAATCCTGCCGACAACGTACAACTAAATCAACAAAATTGCCACCACACGTGCTTGAGACGTGCGCGTGCTTCCACGCACCGCCCGTGGCCGATGTGCTTGTTGTTACTTTACGTGTGTCTGACAAAGGGGTGAACAAAAGCAACAATCATGTACAGCAGGTTCCAGGATTTATATTACAATTGCCATGTTGTTTACCATTAACTCATTTGACTGAAAGGGACTCCATGACCATGACGTTAAACACATTACTACATTGTGTTTGTGTGTGAATTTCTAGTAAACAAGATAAACAAAAGAAAACACAAACATGTTCTTTGACGTTACAGGAAAGCTTTTAGGTTTATTTCTTCTTCTTTTTGTATCCCTAGTCACCTATTTGTATTAATTATTCGTCACTATTACGTTTAGTGAAATTTTCTGCATTGTTTGTCTGCTTATGAATGAGAAAAATACCTTTTCAAACCTATTGTTTGGTAGATTTGCTAATTCGATCATCGCTATTATTTTACCATAAACACATTTCATTCCTTATGTATCAATTTTTGACCAATTAAGGACAATTGGCAATTAATCTCTCAATTTGGATGGAAGATAACATTTAATCAGTCAATTATAATTGAATAAAACGTGTGAGAAACACGACATGTGAGTGGCAATTAATCTCCCAATTTGGATGGAAGATAACGTTTAATTAGTTAATTATGATTGAATAAAGCCTGTGACCAATTAAGGATAATTGGCAATTAGTAGTCTCTCAATTTTGGTTGGAAGATAACATTTAATCAGTCAATTATAATTGAATGAAGCGTGTGAGAAACACGACATGTTAGTGGCAATTAATCTCCCAATTTGGATGGGAGACAACACTTAATCAGTCAATTATGATTAAATAAAGCTTGTGAGAAACATGACATGTGAGTCAAAACACATTTCGTTCCGTATGTATACATTTTTGACCAATTAAGAATAATTGACAATTAGTAGTCTCTCAATTTGGTTGGAAGATAACATTTAATCAGTCA